AAGCTGCTATGTAAGCGAAAGCGCAGTTCAATATCCTGTCTGAGATATTCCCGTCTATGCACGTGCGACCGGACATTGGTATCGACAATAGTGCGACACACGTGATGGCTACCAGCCCGATTTATTCGCGGCGCACGCGTCACCGAGCTGCGTTGGCACTTTGTGCGCGACCAGATGCAGCGTGGTCTGATTAAGCTATTGAAGGTAAAGGGATAAAATAACCCAGCCGATGCGTTCACTAAACCACTCGATAAGGCTCGACTAGACAAGCTGTGTGGTATGATGGGAATGATGAACCAGCCGCATGACAATCGAAGCTGAGGGCTTCGAGGAAGGCGTGTTGGAAAATGGATCCGGATACGATTATCCGGATAGCCGTTGGCAGTTGGAATGGCCGTTGGCGGTTGAAATGGCCTAAGGAGTCGCGAGGGTTTCTCTGGGCCTCAAGGGGGGTCTCGGTAGGTGCATATTCTAGGAAATAGGTGCAGGGAGAATGCCTTGGTTCTAATAGATCAGTTTCTCTTTTGACATCCAAATTCCAACAAGCTCTTCGTTCACGATACTGATAGACAAAGGTAATCGTTTGTCGTGTGTCTTTGAGGTCACAGAATAACTCGATTTGCATTACATAGTATATCCCAACGGGTTTTGACCCACAACTACACATTTAAAATAGCATATAATCTGCGCGAGATAAAAGAATTTTAGTACCTCTAGGGGTTGTACCTTGAGTTTCCGGTGTCTCAAAGTTTGCATATTACCAAAGTTGCAACGACTACGACCATTTGAGGTACCCATTTAGCTAACGTTTAAAATACTGTAGTCTATAGCACGATTTTTTCGCTAGCCATGCACCTTGCTGAACGAATTATGATTCTCTAGCCCACACTTACAAAAAATCGTATTTTTTGTTAGTGTCGTATTTTTTGTGTTCTGACTACTGGCCACTTCTATACTTCTACAGCAGCTTTAATTACTGGTGATTTGTTTCCGATAGAGCTCCATATCGTCAGTATCTAAGCCTTGCGGTATATCTCTGAGTGCTCCCCTTTTTTCGACTTTTACGTATACATTTGAAATGTCACCGTGCTTGCTCGTCTATCGATCGTCATGAGAGCAAAAAAATACCTTGACTGCACCATATTCCACTAAAGCAGGAAATAAATAGTATCTGCATATCACCATTGTCGCCCTAGATTGCTTTAATGCGCCATCTCCATCTCCCTTGTCTTCAAAATCCATGAATGGAATGCGTCACTGCATTTCGGCAACACCGCCGCTACTCACTTTCCTTTCTCTCCCAACGCGGCTGATTTTCCGTATTGGTTCAAAGCTACTATTGACGGTAGTCACCTCTTTCTCAGTCTTAAATAAGTACGGTTCCTAGACGCAACATACCATATTCGTATTGACATCGCAAGACGCCATATCTACGTGATTTGTTTTGGCTTTTTGTTCGATCATGACGTTAGCTTTCATGTTCGATTCCTAACTCGTGCCCGATGCTCTTCCTTGCTACATCATGTTTTTGCTATGTTCTTGGCATTTACCAGCAGTTACCCCATCTCCGATAAAGACGGTTTGTACAGTCCAGCGCATGTTCGGCTCTACCGCCGTACTTTCCATCGGCAAATACACTCAATATTCTTGCACCTTATCGCGTATCCAATCACGTTTCCAGTCGAAGACTTTCTAGTGATGTGAGCCCGATATTTACGTGCATGCTACATAGCGACTTAAATGCCATAATTTGCTCTAGTATCAATGAGCTTTCTGAGAGCATCTGCAATGGTGACTTGATCCGCGAAGCCGTCTTGTGGGAGTTATATTTAGGATTATAGCCCATGATCTTGTTGATTACTCAAGAACTAAGTTGTACTCTGCTCGCATGCCTTGCGTCATTTTATAATATTCTCTCCACCTTCCCATCGCTTGTCTCATTACGTGTTTTGCAGGCTTGTCTTGCTATGTCTGTATTCTTACAATCTTGATCCAACATATTGTACCCCTCATTATCAGCACGAGTATGCGTGTGTTGAGACATCGTCCGACTTTTGTTTTGATTTTCAGTTTATTCCTTGTTTTCTTGAGGTTTTGTGGATTGCCTCGCAGACCTCACCAGTAGGCGCGTTGTCAACCCAGTTTTACTTGACTACGGACTTTTTGATTTCATGCCTTGTGCGCAAGGTAGATGATTCAATCTCACTTAATCCATTAGAGTTATTTGAACGGCTGGGTTCCTTGCAAAATTTGTGTAATTTAGGTACGCGAACCTGATGACCATGAAACAATAACTCTGAACGAATATCTTCTTCTACCGTCTCTCCTCTTTAGTAGGCAGTATCAAACACAAATACCTATCGCCAAAAAATATGCACCATAAGCACACTTGTAGACTTTTTCTCATCGGATAGCAATTATCTTTCGTTTGTTCCGACCACGACTCTCTGTTTGCTGATTATAGCTCGTATTCTTGGATAGAAGCATCCGTATGAGATACGATTTCTTTCCAAGATCCCCACATACTATACCCAGCAGACGCATTAAATTGTTTCTCCCAGCGCCAGGAGCATCAACATTACACTGCCGCCATTTACCTTTTTTCGCTCCTTCGTCGACTGCCATATACTCACTTTGCAGTAGTCGATAATTCAAGCAATTTACCATATGTCAACATGATCCATGGTCATGTCACTTTTGCTGGACTCGGTGTTACAAACCATATTTTCATCTCAGCTTCACCTTTACTAGGACATTCCGATAAAAAGGCACACCCCACAACATTCGCGACACTTTTGTGCATTCCTTAGATATTCTCGAATTACACTTGGGACAAAAATTCCTAGCATCCTGCTATTATCTCTATTAAAAAGATTACATTCAGTGCACTAGCTCTTCCGTAGCCCATAGCCCATCCGCGTTATATCAAAACAAACAAAATCAAAGCTTGCACCGTTCCACTTGCGTTGTGTACTATGTTTTGTAGCGTGAGGTTTTTTGCACCTTTACTTTCTTCGCTCACTGCCACTAAATACGTAGTGGGATAGAGTTTGCTCCATCCACCCTTATCGCTTTAAACCGTAATAAAGATCTTTGCAGGTGCTATCTTCACAGCTAACGTGTATAATATTTCGCATTGCGTGCTTTAGTGCGGCTAATCTATCCACTCTCCTGACCAACCCTGGGCTCAAGTAGTCAGCCACTTGATCTGGGACCGGGAGGAACACCCGTAGGATTCAAACTAAGACATCTGGAGATAGGAATCTCAAGTGGACGAGTAATTTCCCAAATGATGTATCTGTCCTGCCAATACATTGTGTGATGATTGGAAGGGCTGACGATCCCACGGACCGAAAAAGCCGCAAAAAGGGTCGAACAGCTACCAGTATTCCTCGCCAGAAAAAGCTAGGTGCTACCGTGTGGCTTCCGGTAGCATTGATTACTCTCCACCATCCTTCAACTTGATAAAAGATATTATTCTGCAACCATGGCTAGATGATGTCTGGAGATGCCAGAATCGCGTGTTTTGACCTCTAGCAAATTCTATAGACTACATCTTCCGTACGAAGCATTCCCCATGACAAGAACTCATTTCCAAGCCTTTGATCGAGTGTCTTCTATCACATGGCTTTGTTTCTACCTTCTGCCGCGTTACGGTCCCAGCATGCCTTCTCTAGGCCCCGCTTGTGCCTTTACCCGATACACTGGCGGTAGCACATAGTGCTGCGGCAATCTTGGGTACGGAACCTGATACCATTTACATCCCTAGTCGCGACACTCAAGACATCAGCCTTTCTTTGACTCCTTCTAGAGCGTGTGGCTTGCCGACTGCCGCCGCGTCTCGTATCCCGCTACAGCATTAGAAACTGCTGCACTCATGCCGTGTAGGAATGGAAATAGTTAGATAGCTTTATGTTTTGTGCGGTCGTGATAAATTCTGGTAAGAATGTTCTGCAGAATGATATGGTCGACTACCACTTGTTTAGTGCTCTTGATATCACGAAGTACTCCATCGAATCCCGAGTGGAATCTATAAAATGGCTAGTAATTCCCGATGAACTGTCTATTGCACCAGCGATGTCTAAGAGCATGTGTTCGGGCCAAAATACTGCTATACGCGAACCTATTCTGACAACATATTCATCCATAGTCGTGCAAGAGGAGTAACTCGGAAGTGAAGGTCTATATTAAATACTAGCGCGCAGTCTTCAAGCTCATGCGCTTACATGGAATATACACCAATAAAAACGAGGCGTTCGTTAGCGCCAACTAGGTTTCTTTTTTTCACTAAGAAGCATTGTTCTGCCGAGAGATCTTGCAAAGTTTAAGACCAGCGATTATTTGCATAAATATATATATCAAAAGCACGCAGAATTATATGCTTAGAGAGCATGGCCTCTCACCAATCTCCATAAGAAAGCCAAATAGTGTCAAAAACGTGGCAGAAGAGTTGGAATGCAAATGTGTGAAACATTTATCTTCATACATGAGCCTTCATTCATAACCCGAATCTGGACTTTCCGAATTTGGATCGTCCAATTACGCGATCTTTGAGAATCTCTAAACATAAGCCGAGCTTTACTCGAATCAGATGCCAATGTAACGAGAGCGTCACTGTGTTTATGTTTCACCAGCTCTATACAACTATCCAGTGACAAGCGGCTTCTCATTTTGAAATACGTTCTTGTCAAGTTCAGAGTACACCTACCGAGACTAAATCGTGATGTCGCTAACATCTCAGTTACATAGATTGATAATACCATTATCATTCTTTGCAGCGTATACTTTTAAGGTAAGTAGAACCCGGGCCGACTCAATGTGGCGGCGAATGCGCTTTTACATTGCTCCGACTATAAGCTGTATCATGTACGTCGTGCATCGATTCGGCGAAATCACAGTGTACAAGACAGATGCAACATAGGCCGCGCTGGTGCAAGCTTCGAAAAACAAAAAGGTTTAAGCTCAGATGGCGCTCGGAGCGTTTCGTCGCACATCTGCATTGCGATGCTTTCTCTCAACGCTTGCTACACTTCAGCGCCGTCACACTCGACACTCGACGAGTGGTTTATAGCATGCTTTAAACTTCAAATACATAAACTCAGCGTCCTCCTTGATGAACCACCTTAATTAAGAAGAACATACGGCCAAGCAAATGAATTTTATACACATTTATCAGTCTCTCGGGAATAAAACGTCATGTAAATCAACTGAACACTGAAAAGTGAAACTTGGTTATTCAAAGGTTTGAGAATTCAGCTACGTCAATCAGGTATTTTACATACAGCTGGTAATTTAGTAATCTAAGAGCCAGCTGGAGCACCTACCACCAGAGCTGTGATGGGACCGTGCAGTCGAAGAACAAGTGGCTCGGTCTCGATGGCATCGCACCCGTTGCGGCCACAGGAGGTATTATTTTGGAAATACAAACCTAACAGGTATTTCGTTAGCAATGCATTATATTTCAGCCGAACAAAAAGGCAAGCTTTTGGCGCTCACGTTCAAAACGCGATAGAGGTGACTCCATAACAACATATGTCGGTGTCCCTTGAAAGTGTGCTATTGCCGGCTGAATGATAAATGATATTAGTATGAATTTCTTTTTGTTTTACCAAATGACGCGTCCAGTCACACCGGCATTGTCAGCAGAATGATCCATCTCGTTGTTATTTGCGATACCACCTCCGGTGATTATACGACCAAGCTTTTTTTCGTCTGCTTTTTGTGGCTGCAGCGTTTTAACAAAAATGATCCAACAGCGATTATTTTCTCGGATAGATTTCCGAATTTTACGATTTTTTTTATAGAGTTTGCTCAATTGCTTCTGCCAGATTGGACATGCCCATCACCGACCATCCATACTCAGACATTTCGTCAGACGGAGCGAATCGAAGGCGTGGTGGTGGGAGTGTAACTCCTCCAGCACTTGCGCGGAGAGTTGCAGTACCGTGGCTTGTTGCTTCAACTCAATCAATTTACGCCGAAAAGACTGCCAATCGGTCCGCAGGGTTTATCAATTTTAATGAGTTCTTATGCAAATCTTTATGTTTCATATGATACCTTCTCGAAATAACTTTGTTTTTGGTGGAGAAGGGGTTGTCAATTCGTCCGCTGTTTTCAATCCTGCTACACTTTGCAGCAGAATTACGGATTTTTCTCGGCAAGGTCGAGCGTCATGAGCCGAGTTCCTGACGCTTTAACCGAGAGTCGTGAATGCAAGAGCAAGATGCCGATGCCATGGGCAGACAGAGATTAAATGATTGTGAGAAGTCTTGTTTTGGAGCGTTTAGCTTAGTGTAGCCTAGAGTCGTCTGTTTATAAGATTGAGTTGCGTTCAAGCTACTTTGAACCGCAACTCAATCTTATACAGAAAAGAAATGATTTATACTTCGCACATTTCAGAGCGTATTCAGTTACGCCTTGTGCGATACTTGGCCCTGTTAGAGTTGTACCTTGCTCCGCTCGTGCGAACCATTCAGACGACGGCTATTTCAAAGAATGAACATTGCCTCGATTAATGCCCGTAGATAAAATATTATTAATTTAAGGATTTAATACATATCGGAGCCACTTGAATTGACGCAATCTACTTCGCAAACTGGCGTTGGTTGATAAGCGCGCTCGTGTATGTTCTGGCGGTACGCCGGGAACCATCGGAAAAAGGAACGTGCCGTTATGATCGATCGAGTTCAGCGTCTCCATTTATTTGAAATATATCCTCATCGACACAGCTCAATGGTCAAAGTGCTACAATTTTCGCCGCCAACAAGGTTCATTATGCTTTTCATGGCACACCTGGATCGTCCAAAACCGGGAATCGTAGTAATTCAGCATCAAGACTCACAAGACTTAGTTAGGCTCACATGAAAAAAGCCTTTGGCATGTATACTAGTATCACTTTGATTATCGCATAATATCTGGTTCATTGATGTGTATCTTCACTTATTTTGCGCAAGACGTATATGTCACCTCGCGCAAGTTGCACGGTAGATGTCAATGCGATGTGAAAAAAATCAATATAACGAGGTACGTACCCCATTCTGAAGTATGTACACAATATAGTATTTTTTTCAAATTTAAAGCGAAGTCCTGAATGGCCACGACGATAAGTACTCGGTACGGATGAGAGTGATAGTATAGGTCTGTGAGACAAATGAGTTCGAAATTTGTTTGTCTCCAATATCCATAGTAAAACATGTAGCAAAATCGCTTATGGTGCGGGCCCGAAGCTTGTACAGCTTCGGTTCAGGACATTGCGTTATACGAAGCTATCAGTCATGGTGTTGCCAAGAGCCTTAAACATAGTCTTGAAGGCTGAAGTGGCAGTAAGCCGTGATCACCACTTGTAATCGGATTTTCTGATACATAAAGCTGGTTTTGCGTGGAATATTTTAAGATCTCATCCAATTCACTTATTTCATCGCACAAATGATAGCGTCAACTACGTCATGATAGCTTTTGTTTCCGATTGTTGTCTAGAATCTAGTCTCATTCGTGACGCTCCCATCAATTTGAATATGATGCGTCTCACTAAAAGTTCAGGCGAAGGGGGGGCGCGTGTAGCAGTCCCAAGTTTAAATGTAAATGTCAATAAGAATGGTTCATTCTTGGCACGGAATGGCGTTAAAGCTAACGTGGCAATACCAGGTGACGTATTAACTTAGCAATGCTTCAAAGCACCTCAAATTTGAAAAATTCGTGCTTGAAATTGAGTGATCTGGGGAGTCTTTGGTGATGTTAGTTACAAGCGTAGATAGAACCTTTCGTAAATATGAGAAATTTAAAATATTTTTGAAAATAAGTGCTAGACGGTGAGATCACTAATTTAGTACTTTTCGTAACAAAGAGTGAGCCCAGTATATTGCCCATCATGGATACGTTATTATCGAAAGCTGTGGTTTTTTTAACAGTAGATAAAAAATGGCGTAGCTGATGAGTTCCGGGTTTTACTATCATACCTCAGCGACGTTTCTATTTTTCAATAAAGCAATTGAGCAGACGCTAAAGTTAGTGTACTTTGGAATGAATCTGTTCATTCAAAGCTGAAAGTTATTTGCCAGCTTGTGATGGCTCAGAAATCATTTATGTAAAAGCGCTTGTAGAATACGAGCTGTAAAAAGTTTATATGCCTCGATTTTAGCTTCGGCTTGTCAACTATCGTGACTCACGTTTGTCTAACTGCTGTACAAGTAAATTAATTAATTCTTCAAAATAAAAGGAACTTCACAAATGCTTTACTATTTCATGAAACAAAACCCTATGCCATTAAGGTAATAGAGAACTGCTGTACAATCGTGCGAATACAATATTGCAAGGCTCTACAAAAGCCATATCACATCTTTGTGTTTATGTGGACACTTCGTAGGCACCGAATTATCGGTATTTCTAAAATGATGGAATTATAATGACGAGATTTGTGGTACATTTGGAGTGTCAAGAAAACGTATATATTTGTATTTGCTTGATAAAATATGAATCAAAATATACACCACCCATGGCAACAAAGCAAACTCACTAGTACTATAGAGGCTTTTGGCCCCTCTCCTGATTGAAGCAACGAAACAATTATCTGTGCATTTGTTCTAACGGGGTCACATGAGAGCGACCCGTCATCTCCCAAGGGAGCTGTGGTATACACCACAGCTACTAGATAAGTACATGCATTAAGGAATACCTATAAATATATTCAGTCTTAAAACTACCTAAATTTGG